TTTTTTTTTTTAACTGAAAATATTAAACAAACATTAATAATGTGAGTAGGTAAACTACTAGACAATATTAATAAGAGAGGACAGGTGTGAAAGGACGAGGTGAAGCGGAATACAAACCTTGTGTGACCTCTTACTTTGTTTTTACTTAGCTGATTGTCACGTGACCTACCTTATAACGTGAATGACTAATTTAGAAAATAAAGAGCAATTTCAAAAATTGAAAGAGATTGATATCTTTTCATTCATAATAGTTATCCCACTGGTTACATCTCACATAGGAGCTACTTCAATTTTTGTGTAAAGAATAAAACTATCCTTTTTTTTTCCCTTTCTTTATTAACTCTTAATGACTTTAAATTTATTATTATTATTATTATTATTATTATTATTATTATTATTATTATTATTATTATTATTATTATTTTTCAGTTAACTCATTTATAAGAGGAAGGATTACTTGTGTCAAAGGTGTTAATTCACTTATAAGTAGTCATAGATAAATGTATAAAGTGAGTGGGATTATGTTCTTTTCGTGTGAAAATACCAGATAATATTAATAACATGTTCTCGTTTAAATATAAAAAATGAAAGTCTTTATGTTGTGATATCGATAATTCAATAAATACGTCAACAAAAAGTTTTACCGGGACTGACTAATAGAAGGGCAGGAACTAGAAGTGATCTTAAAAATTAATTACATTCAAATTTAAAAGATTAAATTTCAAGACGACCTTTGCATTTAATTCCTACTCCTTTACATATTTTACAGCTCTAACCTCATAAAGAACGTTCGCTTAATTAAAGGTGCGAGGTTTCCTATACATTCGGTATTGCACATCTATCAATTCTTTGTTTTGTAGTCCACCTATGCATTGATATCTTAATTTTGAGAAATGTCTCATTCGTCGATCAACCCCTAAACCATAAGATAAAATATGTTCGATAAGTATATTTTATATACTTATTTGGGACTTTAAATAATGACATTTTATAGTTCTTTTGATGAAATATTAATTTGTTACATATCGAGTTTAATAGGTAAAACTCATGATTTGATGAATAATTAGAGAAAAATGGTGAAAATGGTCTCAATTGTAAGAGATTCAAAGTCCAAGGACTAAAGTGCAAATATCCAAAAGTTGTGACAGACCTCACGATGAAGATTCGAGAGTATCAGGTGTCAATTGGATGAAAAAGAAGTCAAAATGATAAAATATAGTCAAAGTATTATCAAACGTCAATTTTCAGTAGAAAAGTTATGCTTTGAATTTCAGCTCTCGTTTGGCCCTTATTTTTTTTTTCAAATTTTAATGTTTTGAATAATGTTTTTTTGAAGAACTTGTGATTGAAAAATAATGAAAAATTTTCAATTTACATGTAATATTATTTTATGAAATATTGTATGATTGAAAATAATATGGAAAAAAAATGAAAGAGAATGGGCCAAACAGGGGCTCAATCTTAGATTGTAACCCATTTTTGGCATAGCAAACATTTGAATTGGAAGAATGATATTTCAAAACAAATTGTAACCATTTGAATCAGCTTTTCAATAAACTTTAAATCACTCCAATTGAATATTAGGAGAAAAAATTATGATAAAAATATTGAAAGCTGCTCGAGACAAGCCTAAGAGCACTACCTAGGTCTGTGGATGAGGTACGCGCCTCCTCATCTTCTGAGCCGCCTGAGGCAGCTAAAGGCTTCAAGCGCGTGCCCTACTTTGTACTAGGCCCGTGCTACATCACAAGACGGAAAAAGAAAATCTAATTTTCCTTCTCTTGTTTTGGTAATGATTCAATGCAATCTTTTTGATGTTCTATAAATTGAAGAGTACGTCTAGAACAAGAGAGCCGATTTTTATCAGAGTAGAGTAAGAAAAGGGAGACTTTTACATTCAAAGAGCAGAATTGCATCGTTCGGAGTTGTGTTTCAAGCGAAGATTGAAGTTTTCACATTCTTCCCAAGTTTTTTAGTCTCAAGTGTTGCCTTTTCTTATTCTTTTATGTAATTTTCATATGGCAATGTTAGACTAGATATTTTTTTTGTATTGAACGGATGACGAAACCTATTGATTTGTAGTTTTAATTCAAGACTTATCGTTTTTAGTTAATTCTCATGTTCATGATTTCATGTGCATTAATTATGTTTTTTTTTTTTTAATGTTTGCATACCGTTGGGATACATAATTTGCTTATTTGTAGTGTTGAAAACTCATAATAGGTAGAACATTGCATATGTAACACACAGACAATAGATACTAGAAATAATATTTATGGGATGTGCGATCTCGTGTAGTAATCCTATGATTAAATGCATGTTTTCATATTAATTTTGACTAGCAAGGCAATGTTAAACATATGTTTTATATATCTTGAAAAAGAATATTGAATATTGTCGGATTATTGATCGTCACAAACACGTTAATCATTCTAATTAACATAAGTCGAGAATTAGAACTAGATATCAATAGGTGGAGTCGGAAATCCAATACATTCTTCTCGTATTTGATATAAACAAATTTTTACTACTTTCGTAGTTAAATTTAGTGTAAAAACCAACAATCACATTAAATCGAATTTGATAAACTGATATAATCCAGGAGTCGAGCCCGACGAAGGCAAGTGCGAGACGAGACCCGTTGATAATCGATGGCGGACCAATGACGCGATCAAGGGCAAAGCAAGTGAAACAAGCGATGGAATTGCTCGTTCAAGAAACCATTGATGGAATCATGTTCGGGACTTAAAATGGAGCAACTTTCATGTTCGGGTCGAAGGCCGAATCAACTTGGATCAATTTGTTATCAAGCGACGAAACCGGAGGCTGAAAATAAGCCTGTACGATAGCACAGCAAAAACACCATGCGGCCGCACAGTGGCATACCGAAACTTAAATTAGGATTTTTTGTTGAACTATGCGACTGCATGAAAATACACCGTGCGGCCGCACAAGCCAAAAATTTGGCGAATTTTTCAATTTTGGTAATTTTTCATATTTTGTTAGATTTTGATTCTTTTCCATATTTTGGAGATTATGCTCGACTTTTGCACGATTTTTACCTAATTTTTAGGTTTAGTATAAATAGGAGTTTCCATTCAATTGTTAAAAAACTTTTGACATTATTGATATTAAATTAAAGTGAGGCATATGGTCTTCTCTTCACCGTTCTTCATTGAACAATTTCGAACTTATCAAGTGTTAACTTGTGGCGTTCAAACAACCGAATTTAATTCTTGAATTGCGTGATCAAGGGGTCTTTCAAGCGTTGTTCTTGTTGAGTTTTTTGGTTCGACTTTCTTTTGGGTTAATCCTAAACTTTGGATTAATATGGCTTTCTTGGGTTCGTCAATCTCGTTGTGAATTTCGTAGTCAACGTTGCTACGGGGTTCGCATTATAAACACGAGTAAACTAGAACTAAACATTATTCCTCATATGACGATGCTTTAACTCATTACATTATTACCTGTCAACGATAATGTATGCTAGTGAAATTTTCTTGAATAATGATCATAAATAAGTCAAAAATTCAAAACGTTTGCAACTCCTTAATACATAAGAAATTACTTGTATAAAAGATGCTACAATATTGAAAATTTAGAGTCTGTCTGATTGTTAAGATGAAATTTGGATGGAAAGAAAACGAATCGAAAGGAATTGAATTACCTAGAGTTTGTTTTAATGGAAATTGCCAATCACTAGTGTATGACTGGTATAATTTTTCACTGAAAATTGTTAAAATAAAAGTGTCTTTTGGTGTTCGTTTGGCTATGTTTTCATGAAAATTGTCAATTTAAGGGAGATCCAATTCTACAATTGTTCCTAGAATTTGTTTCCATTACCTAATAATAATAAAATCCAAAAATATCTATATTTTGTTGTTCGTTTGGCTTTGTTTTATATGAAAATTGTCAATTTAATGGATATTCTCTTTTATAATTATTTCTAAAACTTGTTCCCATTGTCAAAAATAAAATAAAATAAAAAGCAAAAAGTGAAAAACGAAAAAAAAAGGTGGAAAACATTCTCACCGTTTTGGTGAGAATTGATTTTCCACCAAAATAAAGAAAATACACGTGTGAGCAAAACATGGAAAGTGAATTCTATGGAAAAGAAATGCAATCAAACACCAAAAAAGTTAGAAAATGGAATTCATTTTTCATGGAATTCAATGCCTACCAAACAGGGCCTTAGAAAACTATGTAAAATACAGATTAAGATTTGAGGATTTACGAGCTTTGAGATGTTAGTTAATTAATATTCGTACCTTCTGCATAAATTTAACTAGTTCTCATGAATTATTTCTACCCTTGTTAGTTTCCCATTCAATATTGTTAAAATAAATAAAATTTTTCGACAATGCAATAAAAGTTAAAAACATTTTACATCATAATAAAAACACTTTTTGGTGGCTTTATTCGAAATTGTGAAATTTGTAAGGGGCATAATGAAAATACATATATGATTGATATATTAGTAAATAAATTAAAATGTAATATCTGTCATATGAAAATCATTATTACATCATCACCATCTGTCAGCACTCAATTCTTCTCATTCTGTATACATTTGACTAGTAACCAGTAACCACCGCACTACACAGTTTATTTTTCGAATTTAAGAAATTAAATACTGAATTTATATTACCTTTTTATATTTTTGAATAAATATAAAATAAAGATTTTGCTACATGTACATCAGAAAACCATCATGTGAGAAGGGTGGACCTCATTATGGATCTAATTGTAATACACTTCCATGACTAATATCTCTATTTTTTAATTCTTATATCTTAAAAAATCAATTTACTCTTTTAAGTCATAACGACTACTATGATTTCTTGCAAGAATTGCAACATGGTCACCTTCACGAATTCTAAAAGAACAATTTTCACGTTTCATTTCAAAATCATCATTTATTTTCCTATTTATAAAATATATGTTTTCTCTATACAATATGGTATAAATCACATAGAAAAAAAAAATAGTTTTATGATTTTGATTTTGATTTTTTATTTCCCCACTTAACCAACCATTTGCCCTAAAGACAGATGTCCATTTCCTCTCTATGAACAGCCTACACACCATGCTACCCCTCGATCTATGAACACTGTCTCTAAAACCTCTTAACTTCTCAATCTTGGGTGCTAATCTTGACATGCATCACATTAAAATCCATTCTTTATGAGATTTTTCTAAGTTCCATTAACAAAAAGAATATTGATTAAGAGGGATTTTTCAATGGCTGATTACAAAAGCTTTGAATGTGCAGCACCAGAACTTCTCTGCAATGAAGAAACCAAAAGTGCGTTCGATGATGATGACGATTTTTCGGATCCTTCCATTGATTTGATGATTGAGAAAGAACAGGAATATTTGCCTAAAAATGATTATCTCAGAAAACTGAGAAGTGGGGAGCTGGATATGAGTTTAAGAAAAGATGCATTTGAATGGATTTCCAAGGTAAATTAATTTTTTAATCAATTATTAATTTAATGAAATTGTTTTTGTTTTTATTTATTTATTTCTTTCCTTGGAGTACATTGGTTTTTGCCATTTCCCTGAAATGGGTTTTGCATTTGTTCCATTTATTGAATTGGGTTTTTCATTTTATTCCATTTTGATCAACATTCTTGACGATGTTAATTTTTCTTTCATTTATGCCCTTTTAGTAATTTTTTATTTTTTCAATTTGGTATCTGTGATTTTCTACAAAGGGGGTTTCCCTCATTAATGAATTTTTCATCTGAAAATGGGTTGAATATTGGATTAGCTGTACTTTTGTCATTCATTTAGTGGTTTCTTGAACATTTAAATTAAAATGTGAAAACATTTAATGGTTTTTGATTCATTCTTTTTTTTTTTTTTTTGTGTGTGTGTCTGATTAACAGGCTCATGCTGAGTACAACTTTGGAGCAATTTGCTTCTGTTTGGCTATGAATTACTTGGACAGATTTTTATCTGTTTATGACTTGCCAGTAAGTCCATTGGAAAGTAAATTTTGATTTTATTATCCATTGGAAAGTAAAATTCGATTTTTACTTTTGATTTAGCAGCTTGTTTTGACAGTAAAATACTGATTTCCTGCACTTCAATTTTCATAGAGAGGTAAAACATGGGCAATTCAATTGGTGGCTGTGGCTTGTTTATCTATAGCAGCCAAGATGGAGGAGATTGAAGTTCCTTCCACTGTGGACTTACAGGTGAAAAATTAGCATATAAATGATATGCATTATCTTGGGCTTTCAATTTTTCCAACATTGATGGAAAAGGATTTCGACTCTGCATATACCTGGAAGGTGATTCAGAGTATTACTTTAACCTGAGGGTGATCCTATTTCGTAAAGGATACTTCGAAGTAAATTCCCAAACTATTAGTGCTTGGGGTGATTCCCGGGCATGATCCTGGGTGATATAGGGCTACATTGTGGCATTGCACCTCTCCTATGCTTTTGGGAAGCCTTGTAACAAGTTTGGGTATTGAAAATTGGATAGGACTGGATAGTAAGAATAATGAAGAAAGAAACTAAAATCTTGTTTATTATACTATTTAGTTCATGTTCAAAACTACGTGTTAAATATGCTTGTAATTTGTTGTTGTACTGAGGTATTATGCTGCTTCTATTAACGGTTTTGAGAGTGTGCTCGAATCTTATAGGTGGGGAAACCAAAATTTGTGTTTGAAGGGAGAACCATACGAAGATTGGAGCTTTTGATATTGAGCATCTTGAAATGGAAAATGCTAGCTTATACTCCATGCAATTTCATTGACTATTTCCTTAAGAAGATCAATGATGATAAACTTCCATCAGGGCCATTGATTACTAGATCAATTGAACTCGTCATGAATACAATCAAAGGTCCCTCTTTAATGTGTGATATATATTATCATTCGTACGAGTATAACGTACTATTTGGTTCTAAAATTTTAAGCGTTTGATTCAGTGTTTGGTTGGAAATTGAATGTAGGTATTGATTTCTTGGAATTCAGGCCTTCTGAAATAGCTGCAGCAGTGGCAATGTATGTTTCAGGGGAAATACAAGCAATGAACATTGATAAGGCACTATCTGGTTCCACTGGAGTAGTAAAGGTGATTTATTTTGGTCCCCACTTTAATAAAACCTTTGACAAGACAATCCTTTTTTTTGCTTGCTTTATCACTTTCAGCTTTAAAAGCCCGTTTGGTACATAATACTAGACAATACTTTATATGACAATGAACAAAATATACTAGAATATAGACACATACTCACTTGAGTGACGCCTTAGACAAGACACTTTGTTTCTTGCTTTAGTCATTATCAACTTCACGACGACATTTGATTTGCAGTACTACATAATATTTTGAAGAACAAGGTAAAAGATATTTCAACTTCATTCGGAACATCATATATATGTTTAATAACTTAGTTGTTGTCTAATCTACTGTCAACTTGTGTTCATTTTAACGTTGTTCAGTACTATTCAGTCTATCTACCTCATGTGGTATATATGTTTAGCAACTTGTTTGTGAGATTTTCAGGAAAGAGTGGTAAAGTGTCTTGAGCTGATTCAAGATTTGACTACAACTAGTGTGACAAGTGCTGCTAGTAATGTGCCACAAAGTCCCAATGGGGTGTTGGAGGTTGCATGCTTGAGCTACAAAAGTGATGAAAATACAGTTGGGTCATGTTCAAACTCTTCACACACTAAAAGGAGAAAATTGGACCAACCAAATTCCGAAAGTGGTGAATTCAAGTGAAATATATATTTTCTTTTACACCCCAATAAGTCCAAAATCAGTTTTAGCGAATGAGACTTGAAAAAAAGTGCCCATTGAAAAACAGAGAATTTGATGGGTTGAAAAAAAAAAGCAAGGGGGTCCCATGCTTTGAGCATGAAAAGAAATGCTCTTAGCTGTCAATGATCAGACTTGTCAATAAACACAGTAATTATAGGATGGTGGAGAGAACATTTTTTGGGAATTAGAGCCACATTTTGTTTTTGTGGTGAAAAGGGAAAAATTGAAAAAGAAAAATGAGAATGAAGCTATGGAATTCAAGTTGATTTCAATTTTTCTATATTTGATTGAATTCCTATAGATAGCATGTTTTCCCTTTCCTTAAAGTGGACTCAATGGGTACTAAATAAGAGCACTATGGTTCTCTCTTTCTCAGCGTTTATAATGATACTCGTGTTATAGCGTGTTTAGCATGTTGAATTGCATAAAATATAACATCATAATTGACAAATGTTATATTATGCATTTTTTTTCTTTTATCTCGTTCTGCATATTTAATCTAACGTACTTGACATGTTATAATTGCACATCTAATAATGTGCAGCATAAATTTTTTTGTCCTTGTCCCAAAAATTGTATGGTATATAGAAAATTTCTTTCTTACACAGCCAAATTTTTATAATAAATTTTAATTTTTTACGGGGTAAAATTGCACTTTTGGTCCTTAACTCTTAAAATGTAACAAGTTGGTCACTAGAGTTACACAATTAGTCCTCAATGATAGAAATTGTTTAAATATGTTTGTTTACATCTAATTTTATGATGTTCAAAAGTTTGAAATTAGTAAGAATGGGTGACGGTATTCTACCTAAATAGTAGACACAGGTAATAAATAAGAGAATAATAGAGATCCGAGCCATAGAATTTCTCAATTCTGACAAAGGTACTTACTAGATCGAAATAGATGATTTTATGAGAGTCACGTGATAATCTAACAAAGATGTGGGTGATTCTCATATGTGGATTGCAAGAAAACTAAACATAGAATGCCATACAAAAAGACATGTACATAAAATTATACATACATACATATATATATATATATATATATTAGTTTAAATTATAATCATTAGTGGTTCTAGAAGAAAATTATAATCTTAATGTCCGTGGTGAAAGAATTGAAGCTAGCAATTAAGTCGAGAAGAAATTATACCTGGTCCTATTTTTTAACTTATCATTTCGTAATATTTTAATTTTATTCTTTTACAACTTAGTTATATACTATACCTCCACCCGCCTCACATCACCCCACCTTAGGGGTGTCAACAAGTCGAGTGGCTCGAAACTTGAGCTCTGTCTCAATTTGAGTATTTTTAAAAAAATACTCGAGCCGAGCCAAGTGGAGCTTTTGCTTGACCAAAAAATTTAGGTTCAACTTGAACTTTCGGTTTGGAACTTATCGAGTCAAATCGACTTTTTTCTTTCTTTAAATAAAACACACTATATATATATATATAGAGAGAGAGAGAGAGAGAGAGAGAGAGAGAGAGATAGAGAGAGAGAGAGAGAGAGATGGTCTCCTAAGCAACACGGGCTGACTCGGGCATTGGCCAACTCCCCAAAATGGCTCAGTCCAAGCCTTGGCTCAGTAGAATCGAGTGTCGAGCCGGGCTAGCTTAAACTTTTTCCATGTCCAGTTATTAGCGGCCCGAGTCGACGAGTTAAATTGACACCCTATCCTGCCTATTCTTTTACTCTTTCCCCAACTCACAATTCACATCGATCGCTTGTCCTTGCCATCGCCACTTCCCATCGTCGCTATGATAAGCAGCACCAAGTGATGCTGGTGCGATCTACGATACACCTTGATATGGCACATTGCACGTGGCCAAAGGCGACGTAGGTGGGCGTTGACGCAGCAAAGAAAAAAAGGAGGAGGAAAAATTAGGATTTGGGGACAGAAGCCTCTAGTGCAATTTATAAAATTATAAGCCCCTGTTTGCAATTTCATATTTGGGGTCAGTTTGAAAATGGTGGTGGTTGTTATTGGTGATGGTGCGGTGGTGAGGTGGCGCGACGTTTGGGTGGCACCAATGGTGGTGAAGTGGTGATGGAGTGAAGTGAAGAGTGTTGGTGCCCAATTATTTAGGTAATTGTGACCATTAAAATGAGTAATTTGTGTCAAATAAATAATACGTGAATGATAAAATGGACAATTTATGATCAATTAATAACATGCAATCTAAAAAAAGTATGATTGTGATTAAATTTATAATTGTGACTCACAATTCGTGTTTTTGTGATTGTGATCCTAATGATTTGGATTATAACCTTAATTTTGTGTTATTGTGAACTTCACTTGTTATTATGGCCTTGACCTATTATCAGGTGGTAACAAATATGATCACCTAGTTTTTGAAACTATTTCATAAGTTTCTTATTTTTGAAAAGCGTATTTTGAAACCTCTGTAATTAATTATTTCTTCCTTAAGTTAATTCTTGATTAAAAACCGCAACAAAGCCCACAATTATATGTAATTCTTAAGCAATGCTATTTAGGAATAGTTTTCAGAATGTCCAAGTGTTGTAATTTACGAAACGTGTCTATGCGAAAATACTGATGTTTTAAAAATTTCTGTAGTCCTAATTTTCTTCGTTGAAAATTAAAGACTGAGCCCCCATTTGGCCTTCATTCTTCTTCTCAGTCTTTTTCTCTCTTTTAGTTTCAACTACACAATCTTCCATAAAATAATATTACACGCAAATAAAAAATTTTTTTATTCTTTTTCAGTCATACATTTTTCAAAAAAAAAAAAAATTATTCCAACAATTAAAATTTGAAGAGAATGGAGGACAAACAGGGGCTAACTGTACGACAATAATAAATAATTGAAAATTAAAGCTATGATAAGCAGTGGAGTCATCCATTATTGACAATATTGATTGACATCATTCTATTTAACAGCATCACATTCATCAATTTTAAAAATTATTTTTTACATTAAAGAGTCGAATTTTGACAACATGTGATTATAAAATTAGGGCATGTGAAAAGCAATTTAAATGAAGTTGTTTGTACAGCACACCAAAAGGTGTTGTACATGTACAGCACCCTCGTTGTGCTGTGGGGGCTCGCGCCATTTTTTTTATTGACATGGACCCCCAATGTGAGGGTGATGTGAATCGAGCTGTGTGTCAAATTGTGCACACAGCTCGATCCTTTAAATTAGGACATGTCAGAGTGGGGATTCCAATTTCCAATTAGGCACTATGCAGACCATGACAAACAAACAAATCGATGTCGTATCATGTTCTTTTTGGGATCGGAAAATGGTCGTGTGGGTCCAGAGTCCAGGCCCACTAACCTTTTTTTTTTTGTATTGACTCTAAAATGTGTGTATGACTGGTCAACATCTGGGTTTTTGTTCTCGAACAATATAAAGGAGAGAAAAGGATAACTGTAGTCTGTAGGATCAGAGCCGTAGGAAACACATTGGGGTCAAATTGGTCCGGACTCTGGTTCAAATAATTTAAAGATCTATATTCGTCTTTATTCGATGATGGATTTAGTCCTTAACATATGGTGGGCGCACGAGACTGTAACCACGAACTATGGTATCCGAAATGGTCTACTAATGAGGAGGCTGAGTGCAACACGAGTCCTTTCAATCCCATTAATCCCAACACATGGATTGTTCAAGACGGAGAGGATTGTCGTTGATGGGGACTTATTCAGATGTCAAGTGAACCTTATGATGGTCTGTCCATTTTTAAAATTGACGGTGATGACTATGTAAGGCAATTTTTAGATTTTGATGACGATTGTTACAGTAATGGGTCAATTTTTTAATAAATCCACTTTTATTCCTCAAAGCCATGGAAAATATTTAGAGATAACTATGTCGAAGTTGGTGAGCATTTAGCTACAAAGATAATAGTTTATTTTGCTTCAACTTGAACTTAAATTGTGGGATAAATAAATAGAGTCCTAAAGGCAGAAGCTGCACGAAGTAGGTATCAACATGTCCAAATTTTGGATGGAATTAACTACTAATGATACTTGTAGACCACTAAGGATCCATTAATTGGACTTTTACCGTTATAAAAAGTAAATAAAAAACAATAAACCTGAAAATTCTTTGAGAAGTTATTCAAATGAATCACAATAATCACTGTTTTCATAAGTATTTAACAATGGTTCATCTTCGCTTTTCATATTACTAAGACTACGGACAATGTATCTTCATTAACTTCATCGTCTTCCATTATTACTCGTGTTGGATCAACATCTTCTCAATTAAGTTGCTCAATGTCCATTACTGCGAATGTTATCTCCACATGTTTAGAACTTCTTTCTTGATAAGCTCCACTTTCACTATGCTCAACATTATCATCATTACCATCTCCTTCAGGATATCTGTCCGAAACTATAAACTTCTGAACAACTTTTCAATTTTGACGTATCTTGTAATCATTCATGTAGAATATTTGACAAGCTTGTCTAAAAAAAAGATTGAACCCCAACTTTGAGAGCCTCAACTGCCCCTAAAGTTTTATGAGCAAGGTAAATCGCAGGATGTGACATAGCAGGTCAGGGAACAAGAGCTTTCTGTACACTGCGCCTACAAGGAGTCTAATTCTATTTCTCAGGAATCGAACCCCATGACCTCACTCCTGTTCTTTGCACCATTGTGCTATGCTCTGGGGGACATTTGACAAGCTTGTCTAGCTAGCTTGTAAGGATCATTCTCATACCAATGTGAACTTATGTTGATGTTCGTGAGCGCCATCTCTTAGCCTTTCTCCCCCTCTATCGCCAGTAAGAAAGCCAAAAGTGACTTCAATTCGCCAGTTTAGGCTCAACTCCTCGCTTTACGACCGATGTTTGTGTGTCTATTTTTCCTACTTACATTTGTGTCAAATCATGAGCACTTAAAAAGTTTAAATTTTGTGGTAAGAAATGTAACTCAGTTCACGAATATCTTTAATTAGCCCATAATTGTCGCAAGATTCACCTTCAACCCAAATGTCTTGGCCAATAAGGTACAATAATGAACCCATATGATTGGGCCCAAAGGTCGATCTATTTCGACCCACACCACCCTTTGTCTTGTAATGTGAGATAAAGCCCAAAAAAAAAAAAATTGCATGAGCTTTGAAAACAATTCAAATATTTTGCTATACTTTATATATTATTTATTATCTGTCCAACAACCTTTTTATTCAAATATTTTGCGGGATGCATAAATATTAATTCATTTATCCACAAGTATTTAAAATCCATTTTTTCAAATTCATTTCCAGCCATACATCTCCCAATTATTTTTTATATGGCTCCTTAACTTCCCCATTTTTTTTTTTTAACCACATATATAGGTTCAGCGCCCAAATCAAAGTTTGTTGCTAAAGCATATAACCGATAAACAATTCTTGGCTGCTTGTTAATCCATTAAAGAAATAACCAGCTAAAAAATTCTACAAGAAATCCTTATCATTAGTGACAAACTCGTCGCCACAATCAGTTGTACCTAAAAAAAACCAATCCCACGTGAAAAATATGAGGGTATTCAGCGACCAAACGAAGATTGATTGATGAAACTTCATAACAATGATCATTCATTGACGGTGTTCTTATCAGCTATCACATTGGGTTGGTCACAAAATATACCAATCCCACATGAAAAATTATTCAAAATTTATACCGCCAAGTGCTTCAGTGACCAAATGAAGATTGAAATATCAAAGCAGTGACCATAGACTAGTCACTAATGGTATCTCCTATTTAGCGATCACATTGGTTAGTCATTGAAAGTACCCATTCCACTTGAAAAATTGCACGGGATATATCCGCCAAGTACTTCAACAACCAAGTGATAAGTGGTTTGTGGAATATCATAATAGTGACCATAGACATTAGGTTGGTCGCTAAAAATATCAATCCCGCACGAAAAATTATACGGTGATTTCTCGCGTCAAATGCTTTAGCAACCAAACAAAGATACACCGAAGTGGCAATCTCTTTTTCGCCCTAATCTTTAGCCACCAAATGGTGTATGGTCATTGATTATCTGAATCAACAATCAAGTTTTGGTGCAAAATAGTATAAAAATAGTACAATTTTAATGGACCAAAACTTTTATCTACCAAGTTTTGGTCAGTGATAGTATCTTATAGCAACAAATTTTGTTTGGTTGCTAAATCTTTGGTCGTTGAAGCCTGTTTTTGTAGTGAGAGTAGAAAAGAACCAATATGATAATTGGTCACATATGTTAATACCTCTAAACAACACTGCAAATCAAACACGTGCAAATGTTATTCACGCAAACAATTTTAAATTGTGTAAATTGAGAATATTTCTTTTATTAATGCCTTAATTTAAATTCATATTAAATTTCAAAAAATTTTAAAAAAAATAAAATTAAACCTATCTAGTTGGACCGAGATGACCCACAATATTGGTGAGTTCGCAAGTCAACTGTTAGATTATAAAATAATATGCATTAACATCATATATAATTCAGTCACACTCTAATATATAAACATTAAGCCCTAGAATCTTAAAACTCAATGATTCTCACAAAGAACATACGTAAACCATTTCTCATGCATTAACCGGAAAGCATACCTCGATCCATAACAATCGATTAGGATAACGGCAATCACAAGATGGATTATGAAGAAATTGATTTCTTCCTCTTTCAGCATTTTATTTTTCCTTCTTAATAATATCAATGTGAATAGTACGTTCTATATATATTGGTGGATATATAGAGAGGATCAATTTCTAAGAAGTTAACGTTCTTAATCTTAACCAATCCCATAAATGTGTACAGTTACCATCGATTTCATGCTTTCAAGTTACCAACGTAATCTAGCATTTACTTATATTTATTAAACCATAACATTAATTTATTATATTATTAATAATAGATAACATAATAATTTTATATGGCTCGTGGGTCAAATAAAGTCTAACATCAACAACTCCTCATCTCCGGGAGATGATCTCAACTAGGTTCAAATCTTATTTTTGGACGGATTGGTTCATGCCAACAATGGTGTGAACATGCTGATTTCGTCCAAACCACTCATTGTTAAATATAAAGAATTTCTTCAAGAATTTGAAATAAACCTCAATCTTTTGATGTCCCAGAAAAAGAAAAAATAAATAAATAATCTCATAGCCTGAATAGAAGAATCACTAAGATAATAACAGTATGATCATAGAAGCCTTGTCGCTTATGCAACTCTGCCTCTGAACATTCACGTCAACATGTGCAAAGGTTACTCTCAAATCTTGATTCTGCTTTAAGAGAACACAAAAAATATATAACTTCCACGTAAAGTGATAATACCCACAAATTTTACCTCAAAATTTCTACCCTAAATTCTCACTTAACGCAGACACATTTAGAGCATAAGTTGATTCAGTTTTTTAAGATTACGACATCAATCATCTACTCTATCCTTAAATATTCCATCCCATGTCGTATTCAGTTCTAGGCGGCAGGTAACTGGTCTGATCCTAAATCCTGGTAGTCTCTTTCACTGTATACTTTTATATATAAATGTTTGCCATGAAACAAAACAAATCATAGCATAATTTAAATACATTATATTGTGTGCTCTAAAGAATAGAGATTGATTAGGGTTCATCAAATTTCGGGAGCTGGGATTTTCATATAATTCGCTTTTGCAGTATTACAGCACAGCCTCACAGGTTCTTCCTTATGTCTCTTTTCATTATCCTTTTATCAATCTTACAGTATTTTTACTCTCATCTGGTTTCGAGCAGAAAGTTTAGAGACTTCTGTTTCAGAATCCGAAAACTCTTAAGAAACGTTGTTGAAATTATATTATAATCTGAAAATGATGAGACAACTCTGCGAATTTTTCTATAAAAATATTTGGAGTCTTAATCAACGAATTTCACATTATTATGGACTTTTTGTGGATTTTAACTAAGAATTAATTTAATTACGGAGTTCAACTACAAATTTATACATTTTCATGCTTTAATTCTTACATTCATTAAAATTAAAAAGTGATTACTTTGCCAGAAGAATTTGTCAGAAAGCTTGACATAATTACATATCGTAATAGATGATTGAATGAAGAAGTTGATTACGTTTTAAATTATCCAATAATAGAATAGTACATGACATTATGTCAAATTTCATGTCAACCTTCATGTTAGTATAGCATTATTGTATTTATTTATATTTTTTGTACGACGACTCCGCACCATTTTGTGTCCTTTTTTTTCTTTTGAAGCATTTTCATGTGTCATGTCGCTTTGCATTTTATTTCCGCGCAGTCTTATGATTCATATATTTTTTAAATAGCATGTTTCGTAGACGCAAAACTCGACAGGAATATTTGGTCACATCTCTCTTCCTTAACTTAATCAATTTTGTATCAAGTCCAGCATTTCACAACATTCGCCGATGGAAAATGTTTTTCAAAGTAGAAAAATGATTGTACTGTTTCATCCTATGCAGCAGGTCACAAAAGGTTATTGCCCTAATTATTTGAAAATTTTCAGGAGGAAGAAAGTATAAATCTCCACTATAAACAGTATTAACATGTCGATCGAGGAGTTGAAGATTCGTAGTGAGCTGGAGAACGACGTCGAACGAGACTTGGAGGAAGAAATCAAGGATGGAATTTACCATCTTGCTCTACGATTGCATAGGCTTTATCAGCACCAGAAAGAAAGACATACTAATACAGAAACCAAACCTAAATCTGCAAGAAAAATGCTGTCCGAGGTTAACATAAGCATTAAAATGGAAGGAGGAACCACCATTCAAATAAAAGAGATAAAAAAACAAGAAAAGATACCTCCAAATCCAATGACTTCTACACCAGCAAATAATAAGAAGGTTGATTGGGAAAAGACACTTCGATCAAATCGAGGTATCACTCCATCCATTAAGAGTAATAAAACTGAAAGTAAACACGTCAGCCATTTGAGGAAGAAGCCTGCGAATATTGGGAAAATCAATATTTCAAATGCTTCAAGGCAGAGAAAAGTGGACTTGGGAGCCAAGACTGCACTACTGGAGCTAGGATGGAAATATTAGGGTTTGCTTTGGATTTGTTCAAATATTGAGTGTGTTAGTGTATAAATAATACAGGGCTTGAAGGAATTTGTGTGTGTGAAATACCTTTTGAGCTTAGACTGGAATCTGCCATGATCACAAATCTGTGAATTTGTCAAACTTTTTTTTTTTTTTTTTCTCCCTTGTAATTTGGACTTGTATATTATATGAAGAAGAATTTCTTCAACATGTACAGTCCTGGGCTGGTGCAGCCCAAGATTTGGTTGGCCCGATAAAAAATGTGGCCTGTGTTGATTATGTAGTTAACTTGGATCTGGCCCAAAGGAGATGGGGGTAAGTTGACCCGCTTTACACCCTTTATTGTGGCAAATAAATCCTCTTAAACTCTCTCTCAATATGTTATTTGTTGATGATGTGACAATTTTGATCCAACATTTTGATATGTATAAAGATAACGAGTTATGCTACACAAATAAGATTGGTGGCAAAGTTTGATGACACGTGTCGATCACTAATTGAACAATCCGGGGGGAAAAAAGGACACAAACGCTAACGCGCAGGCGCCTATCACCTCTCTCATGTCACAAACGCAAGCCAAGTATCTTTACTCGAAGATAACATCTGCAAAATATCAGGAATATAGCTTTTTTGACAATCAAGGGTTGGGGAGTGCTATAGTCGGATACTCTTCTCTTTATACATAAATATGGTTGAAAATAAGCTGAAAAAAAGAGAGCATAAAATTGTCTACTCAATTTTAAAGTCTGTCTACTATATGTAGAAATCGAAACTCAGCATCACCCAAGTCATGTAAATGAGAGAGAGAGAGAGAGAGAGAGAGAGAGAGAGAGGAGGATCATACGTGGGACTCTCAAACAAAAGTTTCGAAGTCTTGACAACAGTCTAATCAAAATTCTATCGCACCATTTTATCCTTTTCCGGAGGGCAAATAACCAATGTATTGATCAAGACTAAAAGAAATTACAGCAGGGGTGATATTCACAACAGAGGTAAAGTGAGAAGTCCTTAGAATGATAATCCTGGTACCCATCTGACACAAAGATGAAGAAAATTTGAATAAACATGGAAGGGCAAGAAAATTTTCCCAGTAGAGACAGTATTGTCACGATCAAACTTTCAAGAAATTCAACTTAATTCATTTTTATCAAATTTAAGTTATTGTTGATTTTATATAATAATAAAAGAATGAAAATCTTACACAAGGTTCAGTATATGAAAAGTAAGGAAACATCTAAGATTTCTCGCTTACAGTTCAATAACAACACGAGATTATGCCTATTTGTAACTTCTGAACTAACTAGCAAAGAGAAATAGCGTCGAAGCATAGTTTTTGACAACATTATTTTAACTACTCAACAACAAGAATGCAGTTGTAATGCAGCATGCAATTATAACATAAAGGCAAATGGTCGAGGTCCATTCAGGTCATCCTTCCCCAAGAAATTACTAGCAACCAGAAATTTCAACATAATAACGCAGATGAGAGTACTAAGCAAAAATATGTGCAGTTCATATTCTTGCAACAACTTCCAAGTTACTATGCTTCCAACAAGCC